AGAGAGAGAGAGAGAGAGAGAGAGAGAGAGAGAGAGAGAGAGAGAGGGAGAGAGGAGAAAAAAAAAATATGTTGAGAAAATATGAAAAAAGCGAGAGAGAAAAAGAAAGAAAATCAGATTTGTGAAGCTGAATTTATAAAACACATTCCGGGATAATAGCGCATAGTTTAAAAAGTTATATAATGATGTTTACCTTAGCCACTATCGGCGATGCGTAGTTGGCTCTACGTCGCAATTAGATAAGGTATATCGAAGATATGTAGAGCTCGTAAGCCCCAAGCTCGTCCAGATGGCGCCAACTAAGGTCAGAATCAGGCATTGAACTGTCTGGAAGTTGTTTATCCAAATTGTTGAACTGATCTTTTAAAGAGGGAGTAGAGTGCTTGGTACACATCTGAGGCTACGCCATCTGCATTGCTAATGGACAAACGTAAACCTTCTTTCATATGGAGGCTATATGGGAATTATGCAAATAGCGCAATCCCAAATCTGCGCCAGTTTCTTGAGCTCTTTGTTTCTTTTGTTGTTATTTTATCGCTGTCTTGCTGCAGGCCACTTCGGTTCATGGCCAACGCAAGGGAGAGTGCAAAATGCGCATATTTATGGAGCCCGGAGTCGGACATAGAGGCGGATCCGGAGTCGAGAACTGGGGAAGGGGGCCGTAATGGACGTCAGACGCCAGACGCTAGACGTCAGATATGCTGAGTGACATACAAACCCCAAGTTGGTTTCGACATCGTTGCATGCTCCACATGGCAGCCACATACGTCAGTCCCAGCCCCAGACAAACTCCCAGTACAAGGGGGAGGTGCAAAAGGAGCAGCCCCCAATTGCTATGCGTATCCAATAGCATATGCAAATGTCGCGTATGGGGCCCCAGACTCGAAGAACCCGCCTCGAATGCATTGAACTTTCCATATGCGCTGCAACGTGGCGTATTCCTAATGCAATCAGCACAAATTTAACAGCTGCACGTGACCGCAACTAAGTGCTATTATATATGAAATCGTTAAAGCTAGTCTAAATGGCTTATAATTAAAAATGGACACGCAAATAATAAGGCGGCTTGACAATCAAATGTGTCAAATATAAATCACCTTGAGGAAACGTAACCTTATACGTAACAAACGTAAAATAGGTAACTGAAACATATTTATGTATGAGAGTAGGATATACCCGTATATGTAAGTGCTACCGCTGCTCCTATATTGTATGCCGTAAGTAATAATAAGTAAAATGTATGAGCAACAATGTATGAACTTATCAAATGAAACTTTAATATCTGATTATATTTAATGGTTACGAAAGTCACGAAGAGACTTCAACTTATAAAAGAGCTATTTATTTATTTCGAAATTGGATTTTCTATTCGACCCAAAATTATATTAAATACAGTCTTCAAATTAAAAAAAATATGAATCCTCAATTCTTTTTGTTTATTTATATATCTTATATTTCTTTATCGTATGGATATAAATAAAATGAATTCTGCGCTATAAATGATTATTTGAAGTTCAGGACTAAAAAATGAAATATGTAATGATATATAAGCTCAAACATTTATAAATTTATATAAGATTTTTATAGCTTAAATACATGTAAACTAAAATATTAATATCATAGAGTAATTAATAATTAACTTAAACAGGTTAAACTGGTGAAACGGCTTTAGATAAATCACTTGAATTTGGCTTTTAATAGGTCGGACTATTTAGCAGTAAAAATTGTAGAAACTTATCTACGCTAGGTGGGTCTGAAATAAAGTCGATGAACTACAACATATATAGGAAGAAGAATAGAAAGGTTTCCTTAAAATATAAAGAAAAAACGAATAATATAGTCGCACCGATAACTGGATATTTAGTATCTATGTTAACAGCCCTCGCTTCACAAGCCCAATTTCTTACTGACGTAGCTGAATGAATATTCGCAGGAGCACGCAAATCTAGCAAAAACAACTAATGTTGGGCTGTGATTAATCTGAAAAGCTGAAAGCGAGAACCCACTTGTGGAACGACCGAGCCTTAAAGCACACTTCACAAGTAATATGAAATTCAGAATATCAGAAAAACCCGCTTGAGTTCGAGTGAACTATTAAGCAATTAATTGAATGAGTATTCAAAGTGCCAATTGGTTTGGAATATTTTTCATGGCACAAAGCGAAGCAATTCATTCATAACACTCATGAGTGTCCGCCTTCCGACTGTTCCGATTGCCTTCCCCAGACCTGCCCGAATAATAAATGCGATTCGAGTGCATTTTGTGGGGCTGCAATTTAATTAATTCTAGCTCTATCAAATCTCTCAGATCTTTGCTCGAATGCCGTTCTCAAATAATCATCGAGCCGAACGAACGAACATTTGCTTTGTGCAAGTCCGCGAGAAATACCCAAGCTTCAAGTTTGCTGACGTCAAACGTAATTTTTGTCTCATTTGGAGAGACTTGGGTTGGCTGGCTGGCTTGGGGAGCTCAGGAGAGCGGGAGCGGCGATGATTACAGACATTTCTCTGTCATGATCATCATCAACAGCACATGAGCAGCAGCATCATCAGCAACGGGATCTGCGGGAGTAACTGGAGGCTGGGCCCAGGGCAGCGCTCCGTCAGCTAAAGTGCCTCATTCTGCTCGCTTCACTGGCCATCATCATCGTCAAACAAACAAAGACCTAAAGACAAAGAAGCAGAGCACTGACGCAGTTGAAGAGAGCTCCACGCTTCAAGCGCCAAGTTCCAAGTTCCAAGCTCCAAGCTCCAGCTCCATTTGACGTTTGTTTACCGAACACCCTTGACTGGGGTATTTAAATTGGTTGACAAAGAATGCTAGCCATACAAGAATGGGAGAAATGATTGATGAGAAGAAATAGATGCAGCCGAAATATTGAAAGTAGTCACATTTTTCTTTTAGGGAATATTTTAAAATTTCCACTGATTTGCCAATAAGTAACTTCTTTTAAAAACCTTTGATAATTTTATTCGAATGAGTTACAGACATAAGTCACATTTTGGATAATTGTGTATGTATTTATTCGATAAAAGTGTGTGAACTTTAACAAGAATAACTAGCTAAGACCAAATATAATCATAAATTAAATTATTCTCAAATTAAATTCAAGAAGTATCCCAGTACAGTGGAATCCAACTAAGAATATTTTAGAGCTGTTTAAGCGTATTCAAGCTTCGTCACGCTGACTCTAACAGTTCTTACTTGTCGCTCAACATTTTTTATAATTTTTTTTTCTTAATTTTTATATAAATTTGCGGTTGTGATTGACGCACTTGCGTGTCACTTGACAATTTTTTTCTTTTAATCTCGCGACTTTATCGTAGCTTACGAGCCTGCATCGTAATCGCAATCGCACTCCGACTCTCCGATTCCAATTTCAATTCGAATTCACACTGAATTCTCGCTTAATAGTTTGCTCAGGTAGCAAGAGACGGTTCTACAACTCTTCCGCGCCGGCTCTTAAAACAATTTGAGTTGTTGTTGCTGTTGGCATTACGCACAGCTGAGCAAAATGTTTGTTATAATTTTGACATGGCGCTCGTTATTAATTTATAATTCAATGACTTTACTGACGTAATAGTATTAAGCTTTGCATAGAGCACAGCAAAAACTATAAATCGTTGCCTCATTAACATGTTTGCTTTGTTATACGAGCATCCAGCTGCTGGTGTAGGTGTGTGCGTGTGTGTGCATAGTTAATCGCCCGTTATAGCCGTGTAGGCACTACCTGAGAGATGTGTGTGTGTGTGTGTGTGTGTGTGTGTGTGTGTGTGTGTGTTCACTCCACTAGCGCCAGAAACAATTTGGTTTTGGGGGAGAGCAAGTAAAACAAAATATATTAACAAATATACGCGAATACATTTTGGATAAATAAAAGATATGACGGAATTTTAAGATAAAAACAATAGGCGTTACCTATTTAAATTGCTGAACATTGAGCATTTTTCTTTTTCAGTTAATAACAGATTTACAGTATTTTGAATGGTTTTCAGCCATATTCGTAACCTATTATAAAATGAATGAGTAGACTGCACATAATATTTCGCTAGTCAATCAGGCTATTCACTATAGTTATTTAATGTTTTTATCAACAAAATCAGAGTTTAGGCGATACTTTGAAATATTAATAAAACACCAACTAATTTTCGAAATTAATCGCTGAGAAGTAGATGTGGTAAGTAAGGAAGAATAATAGATATTGGAATAAAACTGCTTCTGATCTGACAGAAACAATTTAAACAACTTATCGTCTTGATTTT